GCTCTCTTGCTCTTTTTGCCTACAAAACACACAAAGAGAGGCAAATAACATAGAAATCTAGGAAACTAAGCAAAAGAAGTAAGTAAATTTGGGCATGTATATGTATGAAATTATGAGCTTAACAGGAACCAGTCACAACATCAGTCTCCTTCGTTGCATCATAATGGTTCCTTTGGTTCCTCCCGTAGCTGGCAGCCATTCCAACAATCCAATTCTGCATCTCAATGGCCTACTTTCTCACCGTGGCAACCTGGGCCTCATCCACAGCCCCCATCCTCTTGGTCTAACAACAGCAGTCAACGCTCTTCAGCTCCTGGCATCCTTGGCCCACCATGGTGCCCCACCTGCAACACCGCTCAACATTCTCATGCCACCTGTCCTCACAAATTTCGTGGACCTGAGTCTTTTCCTCCCTTTGCTGGTGCTCAATTCCTACAACCCAGTGACAACACTTGGAACCTTGACACCGGTGCCACCCATCACATGACCGGTACTGCCACTCATCTTCAAAATCCGCAATCATATATGGGTAATGATTCCATCTACTTGGGTAATGGTGACTCTTTAAACATTTCATCCACTGGTACAATTCCTATTTCTTTAGGCTCTTCGTGTCATTCTCTTCATAATGTCTATCATGTTCCTTCTTTACGCACTAACCTCCTTTCTATTGCTCGTTTTACTCGTGACAATGCTGTCTCATTCATGTTTACTCCTGATTCCTTCCAAATTTATGACTTACATACTGGTAATCTTCTTTTTCAGGGCCCATGTAAGGATGGCCTCTACCCTCTTTCACTTCCCTCCGCTCCTTTCTCTGCCAAGTGTGCCCTCACTTCCATTCATTCCTCCGCTTGACATCGTCGTCTTGGTCACCCGTCCTCCGTTGTTTTGTCTCGTCTTTCATCGTCCTTAGGTTTTAAATTTAATAAGGATTTCTGTAAGCCTTGTGCTCTTGGAAAATCTACTCAATTAGCTTTTCCCATAAATGAAAATCATGCTACTATTCCCTTCTCTATCATTCACTATGATGTTTGGATGTCCCCTGTTGTCTCTAAAACTGGTTTTAGGTACTACGTTCTATTTACTGATGAATATTCCCGATACACTTGGATATATCCCATGCGCCGTAAAAATGAAGTATTTGAGCACTTTCAGTCTTTTGTTTCTCTCATCCGTAATATCTTTAACTCCACCATCAAATTTCTTCAAAGTGACAATGGCACAGAATATGTCAACACCTCATTTACTCAATTTTGTCAACATTTAGGAATTCAACAATGGTTCTCTTGCCCTCACACTCCCCAACAAAACGGTCTTGCCGAACGCAAGCACTGCCATATCGCTACAATCATTCGCACCCTACTCACCACCGCCCATGCCCCACACTACCTTTGGGTTGAAGCCGCTCTTACAGCAGTTCATCTTATAAATCTCCTGCCCACACCCACCCTTCAATGGCAAACTCCATACACCACACTATATAATCGTCCCCCTGTTTACTCCCATCTTCGGATTTTTGGGTGTTCTTGTTTCCCATACCTTGGTGCATACACAGAAAATAAACTTGCCAACCGCACCACTGAGTGTGTGTTTCTCTGTTATAGTCCTAATCACAAAGGCTATCGCTGCTTGGATCCTTCTACTGGCCGTGTCTACACCTCACGCCATGTTGTTTTTAATGAAAATAAATTTCCCTTTGAAAGCTTGCAGGTACCTTCCTCTCCTTGTTACACAGAACTGGAATCTAATCCTGTGTGCCCAACCCCCATGGGTTCCCTTACCAGGCCCATGCCCCCATCACATCCTCCAAGTCCATCCCTTCATGCCTCGTCCAACCCACCAGCCCCTTTTCCAGCACCTCTACCGCCCCCAAGTTCCGGCACCTCCATCCTCCCACAAGCTTCCGGCACCCCCATCCTTCCACAAGCTTCCGGCACCTCCATCCTTCCACAAGCTTCCAGCACCTCCATCACTCCACATGCTTCCGTATCCTTCCACCG